TGAAAGCTTGCTAAAACAAAGATATTGGCTTAAAATTAAAAATGCCCAGTAATGATGATAATCTATGAGTAGATACTTAGACACTCAAGTTGAACAGGAGAGGAAATGGGAATTGGACGACACCCATGAATGTATATGCTTGGCAGAGGGTACTTCTACTTACTTATTTATATGTCCTGCAAATATATCCTTAAATATGATAGAGCAACAGCGGGGGAAAAAGTTACAACAACTTAGACATAATCAAATACCCAAATAGAATGAGTTACTGGGCCTGGGAGCTCAGAACCATTATTCCAGGGGACACTAACGTCAACTGGCATTAACAACCTAGTCCACAAAGACAATGTTCTACATCCTATTTTGGTGAGTAGCAATTATGGTCTTAAAAGCTTGAATGATCATCTGAGGTGCAACTATTGGTATCTCCCAGCAAAGAAGAGTGAAGAAAATCAAAGATGTAAGGAAACTATCAGTCCAAAGGACTAATGGACCACGTAAGCCCCAGCTTCCATGACTCCAAGACCAGAACTAGACAGTGCCCGGCTACCACTTCTGACCACTGTAAAAGGAATCATAATAGGAGTTCCTGGACAGAGTTGAAGAAAAATGCAAAACAAAAATAAAAATCATAAAACAGTAGGTTTATTGGTCTGGTAGAACCCTGGAGACTTAGACACCCTTCAAGCCTGGAACTGAATTCACTCCTGTGGGCTCAACTTTCAGTCCAATGATGTTGTTTTTAAGCGCCGCCGAGTCAGTTCCGACTCATAGCAGCCCTGTATAGGGTTTCCGAGGAGCAGCTGGTGGATATGAATTGTTGACATTGTGGTTCGCAGTCCAGTGCTGATCCTACTGTGTCACACAGAAAGTCCTTATGAGGTGAAAAGTGACACCAGGGAGGTACACACTCAGAATAGTCAACCATACAAGATCAAAAAGGCAGTGCAGTATTTGCTTAGGGATAAAGCTTAGAAGGCTTTATCAGAGGAAGACAAGGAAAGAAGGACAAAGGGAAATGGTAAACACGGGGATGATGCAGGAAGAATGCTGTTACATTGTGAGGACTGCAGTCGCTGCATAAAACAAAACGCTTACAAACTGCTAAACGGAACCTAATTAGCTCTGTAAGTGCTCACTCACATCACAATGAAAATGCCGAACCATGTGAGACCTCAACTTCAGTAGCTATTGTATCAGTGGCAATTCTACCGGTTGTCTTCTGCCAATTTCTGGACTTCAGTTTCTTCATTTGCTGGGGTTGATGGTCTTCCCTCTCTTGAGGTCTTCCTGACCTTTCTTGAAACACTTGATTCATCAAAAAACTTGTTTTATGTGGGGCATCATTCCCATAAGCTTGTTGCAAAGCTTGAATGATTTGAGATGTTTACTTGAGTTTTGATTAAAATTTGGTATTAGCCCTCATCTCACAATTGCTTTTTCCCATGGCACAAAAAGTATCCTATTTTTCTAAGGTATCTAAGAAGACTAATTGAAGAGGTCCAAGAGCTGAACAGAAAATTTCAAAGATCAGCTCAAGAAGATAAAACCAAATACTATAAAAAAATATGCAAAGATTTGGAGTTAGAAAACCAAAAGGGAAGAACATGGTCAGCATTTCTCAAGCTGGGGGAACTGAAGGAAAAATTCAAGGCTCGAATTTCATTATTGAAAGATTCTCTGGGCAAATTATTGAATGATGCAGAATGCATCAAGAAAAGATGGAAGGAATACACAGAGTCATTGTACCAAA